AGGAGGATTTCTTCTCACTTTCCCCTTCTGCCCTTTTTTGCCATCAAGAGCAAATGTTTGTCCTCCAAGCAAATGGACCACGTGAACTTTTTAGCTTAAGTGACTCACCAATGCCTTTAAGGCCACGTGACTTTTAATAGATACGTGCAACACTGGATGGCAAGTGGAAGAAGTTTCTATGTTCCTTGTCCCCAGATCAGCTTCAGAGATTATTTACAATGCCTGCAGGAAGAGACTTCTTAGCTTTGATAATCTTTCAGTTTGGCACTCTGTACTGCCATTTTCAGGACTTGATCCTACAAGTTGTGCTCAGCATCTGTTTTAATGACTGTTCCCAGATAACTGAAATTTATAGAGATGATCTGCACCTTGCAGGGTGTGACTCCTACAGAACAGTGGCTGGTTTCTTGTGCATAGGGTCTTTTGAGCCTACGGAGTTGAAAGTGAATTACATCCTTTGTACATTTTTATAGCTTCCACAATTTTATATTGTGGAAGTCTGTGGTACTTCAAAGATCTGTAAAATGTTGGGGAACTTCAACTTTGACAGTTAATGTGACTTCAATCTTCCAGCATCTCCACTCCAAACATAAATGCTTGTTTAGTTGCAGCAGGCACCACAACGGCTGTCTTTCCAGTGTTCAGATCCATCCAGTTAGAGCTGAAGATAAATCCTGTGGCACCCTAAAAGTAAATAAGGAAAAAGACATGTACACTTGCTTCCATTTCTGTTTTTCTTCATCAACAAGTGAGTTAAGAAAGCCTTGTAATTGTCAAGTAGAGGGTTGTGTTTCTATGAATTACAGAAAGATGGCAGTGGGAGAAGACAGGGTAAAAAATGTGACAAAACAGGCACAGATGTGATGAGAGATGAAGGACTGCAAGATCAGTTCTGCTTTTCTTGAACTGTCTGTGCACATTTGGTGCAGGAGAGGCTGTCAAGAGGTACATCTGTGTTGTGGCATGGGATTTTGGGAGAATCTTCTTTCTAAAAGGTGTAAAACTGGAGGCATTCAGGGAGCAGTAGCCAACAGGTGTGTTGTGTTATCAGTGTAAATGAAGGCTGATGAAATGACTGTGGAAGCTGAAAATGGACACAGCAGCAGGAAATTCTGGGAGCTAGGTTTGATTATTGAAGAAATTGAAATCACCTGCTGTTTAGATGTCACTGAAAGTCTGTGTGGATTTTGTTTCCTTGGGAGGCTGTTACAGAGCCTGACCTCATAACTGAGATTTCTGTAAGCAGTATATAAATCTGTGGGATATATTTAAGAGAAATGTGGGCTGGTTATCACTGTAGCCCATATTTTGTTCTTTTCTTTTACTTTTCTTGATTTGAATAACTTCAAATTATGATTCATCTCACCCACTAATGTGGGGGAATTTTGTCCCAACTCCAGACAAGATGTCTGTGAATGCTAATGTTTTTGTTTTCAACCCAAAACAATGATATAACTGAGAACAGGGCTGTCAACTGAGGACATTTGTATCTCCAACATCTGTGGTGAATGAGCCAAGCCTGTGCAAACCCAGTGGTTAATCAGTTGGGGGGAATCTGCACATCTTGTTTGCCTGAGTCAGCTACCTAAAGGATTTGCTAATAGCTAAAAGTTTGCCTGAATCATTGGGCTGCTGGGTGTAGTAAGCATCTGTTCACATCTTGGCTGCTGTAATTAAAGAGACAGAGAAGCACCGTCTAAAGAAGGAGAAAGCAGAGCATTGCTAGATTGAGAATTTTCTTTTTTCTATGTTATTACTGTTATCTCCTGTTTGTCCCAGTACAAGGCCATTAGTTGTGACTGTCCATGCTGCATAGAGCTACGTTTCAGGGATTTTTAGCTCTGAAGATCTTTCTTCGGTTCCTTGTGAAGAGAGGACAAGCAATGTGATGGATAATAGTTCTTTCAGCAAGGTAGGAAGAGGGCCTGCTAAGTTGAATTGTGGAGGCAAAGACCATCTACCAGGAGGGACTGGTTGGAATTGGTAAGGACTGAGAACTGTCAACTTGAATTCAGATGAGTAAAGTTCAATTACAGCAGTTCTGTAGAGTTCAGATGTCTTTAGACTGATTAGGCATCACTCTATGCCTGAATTCCTTGCCTGCATACTAGGGATAATGAAATACCCCAGTCTCAAAGAGAGGAGTTCTATTAAGAGACTTCTGAATGACTTGGGTATTGCAGTACTGGGTTTATAGCCTGACAGATGGAAGCTGCAGGGTAAAGTGGCCTCTGCTCTGATTGTGCATATAATGTTTGGTTATTTGCACATTAAAGAAATTTTCCATCACTGATCAACTCAGCAGATAGACTCTTCCAGTCTATTGGGGAAAAGGCAGTTACATCAGCTATGCTATCTATTGTTACATTTGAGAATTTTAAATTAGTCTTACTACATAAACTTAATACTGTTGGAAAGCTCTGAGATCCCGTGGAAAGGAAATGCTTCTGATACGTGAGTGGTGGATTAAGTCTTCCAAAGGATGATTCCCTCTGTTTACATATCCTTTCTAAAAGGAAACATGTCTGATTCTCAGTGTTGGTAAGATATTAAGTTATTAAGAATAGTAGAATTCCTATAGCTTTGGTACCCTGAGGACACGAGGCAGATAAAGTTTTATTAGGTCCACTGATCTAACTGGAGCAAAATAGGTCCTGTAGAAGGCCTGGAGCTTTTCTGGTTGTTTCCTTTTCTTTTTTTCTGGTCTTACATAATTCATTTAATCTTCCTACCCTGAGCTATTATAAATTACCATTGTCAGCTTTGAGAAAAATCTTGATTCAGTCATAAAACTTTTTAAAATTTAGTTGGGTAAATCTTCGTCATATTTTTAATTTCTACTTTCCTACTGACATGCAGAAAATCAAAATAAGTCAAGGTTCTCATTCTTGTGGGCCAGTACTTTACCGCTGTTGAGTGTTGAGCAGGCAAGACAAAAGCACAAGCACCGTGATAGCCCTAGATGGGACATGATCCAGAGAAATCCATCCTCAAACCTCAGTGCATTTTGCATTAAGGTCATTTTTCTTTATTTTGAACTGATTCCAGAGCACGTGCGGGGAGTTAACTAAGAGTAGAGGATGACACATTACCTAAGCCAGTTATCATGCTGGTCTCTTGGGATACATGGCTTATATGTGGAAATGATCTGCAGAGTTCAGTTTGTCTCAACATGGCTGACAGTTTTTTCTGTATCTTATGTGAAAAAAGAGGTTAAACTTTGAATGTAAGCATTTGACAGATAATTGTGTGTGTAGGGGGAATGTCTGAAATTGAACTTTCAGGCTCTTAAGCAGAAGCCTGCTACTTGCTAGCTACTATTGTTACACTGTGGTTGTAAGTTTTGATAACATTTAGACTGAAAAATAGTGACACATCATAGATCTTCCAATTATTGTCCCAAATTCTCCAATAAATAAACAGGCCTGAGACAGAGCGAAGAAGTGAGGAGGCTGGTCATGTGTCATGCTTCTGCATTAGACTATTTAGATTGCAAAAATCAGAGGTTTGGGATGCTAGAAGAAAGAGGAGGCCAATAAGAAGGCTTCCCAAAAAGAAGTGTTGGAAAAAAAGGGACCTGGAAAGAAGGTGAAGATCCTGTTTGAAGAAAAGATCCTGGGAGTGGGCGTAGATCCTGGAGATCAGAAAGCTGCATGGAGGCAAATTCTTGGAGGCACGCAGGGACTTTGGCCATTCACTCCCGAAGCAAGAGCTCAAACTTCTGCCCAGCTTTCCCAGATTGTCAGCGATCTCCCTGTGGGAAGGAAAAGTCAAGACTTTGAGAAAGTAGAGCCTGGAGAATAGCAAGTGAATGTGTGAGATAATCAGGCAAGGTAAAAGCTCTGATCTCTTTGCTTCTTACATAAACCCCAGTATTCAGTTCTGCTGTAGGTTGTTGTTCACTGTTTTGCCTGTGATAGTCTGCTACACTGTGGCTTTAGCAAGAAAGTAGTTTTGGTTGTGGTTATGGAACAAGAAGTAATGACAGGTGCCATTTAACTTAGCATCTTTTCTTGCTATTGCAGTGTTCTCATAAATAAATGCATGCAGCTTATTTTAATGTCTGAGCAACAAGACTTATAGTCAAGTGAGGAACGACCTCTATTTTTCGGATAGTTACCATTTGGGATGTCTCCCTTACAGGCATTCCCGCACTGTAATTATGTCTCAGTGAAAAACCTGGCAAACGTTTTGTGTTTCACCTTCTATTGGGACAGTTAATGAGGTGGTAAGAGGGACAAATAGTAGTCTTTGTAATGCAGACCTTTCTTGTCAGAATGATAGGACAGGCAAGATCCTCAAAGCTGTTGGAGACCACAGCCATTCACTGCTGGTCATCTGGGAGGAATTTAAAGTGGGAACCTGAAGTAGAAAGAAATCAAGAGAATGTAGGGAGGCAGTTTGCTCAAACTATTACAGTCCTTATGCTAGGATTCTGATTTGCAAAATGTTGGAGGTCTTTGGAAATGTGAGGTTGTGCCCTGATGTATATGAAGAACAACAACAATTCTTCCTCTACATATACAGTTTTCATAACAATCTGTAATTCTTTAAAATCAAGCCATAATACTTGCAAAATAGAGCCTGCTACCTGCTGAATGAAATAGCATTTAAATATACTGTTTATCTGTATCTAAGCACACAAATGAGGCTGAAGCCACAACTAAGCTTACCTGTATTGGAAGTGATCAGAAGATCGAGCTTCATTAAGTTCCTGCACGCAAGACCACTGGGAAGCAGGGAATAGTTTACTACTTCCCTTGGCTTAGCTTCCACTAGGTTTGACCCATCTTTCATTGCCTCTGTATTACAATGCACTGTTCTTCATAAGTAGGTGTGTATCTTGGATACTATATGAGAACTGCTGAATCACGGCCTGAACCTCTGATTGATCACCTGAGGCGAGCAATGAGTCAGCCACGGGAGCACAGGTGAAAGCAATTCACCTGTGCTGCAGGAAGGGGTGAAGCCTGGCTGCACCTCTCTAGACCCATTTAAGAGCTGACTACCAGTGGGGAAGGATCTCTTCTGGAGATCCACTCTACTGGAGTTTCATAAGTAAGCCCAGGATACGGGTAAGTCCTCCTATCTTTTCTGTTTTGGTGTAATAATTATGTAGTTAAGCTCTCTGGTATGCCTCATAAGGATGACATCTATACATTCATTGATTGTACACATAGTAACACACATAGAGAAGTGTTGAGGACAATATTTGGTGTTGGAGTAAAGTTATCAAATACAGATTTACGAGAGTTGTTAATTAGAGTTTAGACGCAGATGAAGACTCCTATTGGATTCTGTGCAAGGTCGGATGCTGAAGTTCAGCTTATGGCTGGCAATTGTCCCTCAGAGGTTTTGGTCTTTGCTGAAAGTTGCAGTGGAATGGGTTATTGTAGCAAATGACTTACATTGCTTAGGAATGAATTGCAGCACACTCATCTGCTGATTTCAAAATCTTTACAGAAGTGAATGTACCACATTTTTTTTCCCCTAAAAATAGGAGAAGGGACAGGGACAAATTGACTGGATTGCCTACATCTTTGCAGTTGGTTAGTGGCAAAAGCAGCAAGCCAATCTAAGAGTCTTAAATTATGGTGAGTCATTTGCTTTATATGTAATTTAAGAAAATGAAGCCCTTTGTCAAAGTTTATTTTGCAGTATTTTCCTTTTGAGGGAGTCCTCTTCAAACTTCTCTCCTAGACCTCTTTTTTGCTTAATTTCAACTTATCTTTGAGTCATTTTAGGACCTGCAGCCAGTTTAGTTACCTCTTTGCATAAATCTGGGTGCTGTAGTTCTGTCACCGATGCAGCTATTTCTATGCCCAGTGCCCTGCCTGCAGTACCTCCTGTTTTCTGCCTAACTGGCTGGCACATCCACAGTAGATGACCTGGACAAGCATTCTCAGTGGCGTCCTAACCTGCAAGCTCTGTGTGGAGCTCTGTGCTTAACTTTGCTCTTCATGCTGCAGGTGGTTTTGCTTTTGAGAATAAACTCGTGACAGCTTTCAGAGGACGTATTAGACATATATTTCTGCTTCCTTCCTTTTAAATGGAATGGTTGACTTTCTAGGTAAAATAGAGGAGCATTAATTGAGCTGTTTTCAAGCAATCATTTGAGTTGATGCCTCTCTACAAACTCACAGAGAACAGGGGTAATGGAAAGAGACATAGCAAATACCTGAAGTGGGCCAGCACTCGGCTGAAGATCAGGATGCAGAATGTGGAACTGCAGAGAGAAACATCAGTCTAGCTGGAGTTTGTTGGAGTAGTTCATCAATGATTAGTTTATTTCTGATCTTGTTTAGCATTTTCATTAACAACCTTGGCATAAAAAATAGACCGTGTTAATGCAATTTCCTGATGATGCTCTGCTGGGAGATAAGACAGAACTCCAGCCCATCTTCAGAGTGTAATTAAAAGCACACCTGTCCTCTCTGAACAGTTTCTTGTCTCTGCCTTTTAAAATTTCAGAAGTAAAAAAGCATTCCTTGAACATCATCCCTTTTCATTTCATTGGCTGCATGATCTTGGCCCAACTACTTGAAAAATTTAATTTTTTTAAGGTGTCTGTCAGCTTGGTATTCATTAATTTCCCCTGCCAAAGCTCAAATGAATTATGTAAGTTGATGTAAAATCTCCAAATGAGGGTAACAGGTAATTATTCATGTTCATGTCTTAGGCTATGAATCATTTCTGCTCTTCAGTCCAACTGTTTATGTAGCACCACCAGTCTCATATTTCTTTGCTTCTGATGTAAATAATTTTCAGTGATATAAAATGTGAGAGGGAACACATTTTTGTTGAACATGGGTAACTTTAGGACTAAAAGAAATGAAAACCTTTAGAACAAGAGTAATAGAGGCATCTAAGTGGCAATTAGAATCCTTTAAAAATTCATTCAGACTTAGTGAAATGTTGCTGGCACTCATTCATAGAAGTAATTGCCCCATGCACATGAAAAATTTAAATGTGGTAATTTAGTAATGAATCTGAGCTGTCAGAAGGTATTTTATGGATAATCAGACATTCCTGCAAGCATGGATGTGACTGAAGAAAATGGAAAAATAACTTTGTGGAGGCAAGATGTTCTGAAATAAGTGTTTTCTCTGGAAGCGAAGAAAGAACCCTGTGATTTGTAGAAGTGTAGTACACTGTAAGTCAGTAAGGGCAGCCACTGGAAGCAAATAAAGAACTATTTGTGTCCATGTTACTGATTCAGATTAGTCATTTTAAGCAGTGATCTTTGAGGACTTCTGGATTCCCAGATACTCTGTGCGCATGCATTATCCAGCCCTAGGAATGGGAGGCAGGAATTCTTCTGTCAATTTAGAAAGGAGAAGCTCAGTTCTTCTTTAATTTTACTCACTTGAAACTGTGTTCTGTATTGGAATTCTTTTCCTGGAATTAGGAAGGTCGCTAGCTACGTGCTTATTGGGGACAGGCAGATTTGAGGCATTTTGGAAGTTTATTTGGACTCACTGTAGCATCAGGGAAGTTAGTACAAAGCATTGCATTTGATATGGCAGCAGTTCACTGCCACTCTTTGAGGGTGTTACTAACATAAAAATGGACGATAGCACTTGCAAATCTTTTTTGCCCTATGGCTCTAAATCAATCTGGGCATAAGAGCTCATGACGTTTGTCTCAGGTGTGATATTGCTGTTGCTTTTTCTTGTGTCTAGCTGTTTCCTGGGGATTTTCAGGCTTTGAGGCTGTTTGTGGAGAAAACTTTTCCAGTGGTCAGATCCAGCTTGGGCTGCTGCTCACTTTAAATCTGCTTTTATGAGAATTGATTTGCCAGCTGATATGTTAATCAAAAATGCATTTGTTTTTTATTTTTTAAATCTTCTCCAGCATTAGAATGCGATAAAGAAGCACTCCTGCTTTCTAATGTTTAAAAATGCTGATTTTGGATGCTATTTCTAATATTAAAATAAATACTATTAGATGTCATCTTTTCTTTTTGTTGTTTATGCAGCTGGTGTTTGTTTTCCTGATTTCTGTTGTGCTGAGTTTACTGAATGCTAAAAGGGTTCAGCTCAACTCATATTTCAGGTGAAGTGGAAGGAAATTTTCAAAAGAAAATAAAGATGTGGGTTTTTTTGTAGGACAAAAAGTAAACCATATTTCTATTTTTCATTTTTTAAAACTTATTTGCCTTCTTTATTGGCTAAAAAACTTAAATATGGGCTTGGATCATCATGGCAGGTTCTTCTAAGTGCTATGAGAATGAACAATTCCTACAAAAACAAATTACATATATATTACGTATAATTAAGCAAAATTAACAGTAAGATGGGTATATCAGCTAGCAAAGAATAGCAAGCTCCACTGTTCCATTTCTCAATAAAGTCGTCTTTTCCCATAGATCACTTAGAAGATGGATCACCACTTGGAAAGAGCCACAATATTGAGTCTTTGTCTCTGCATGCTGGAATGGGGCCTCGCTCTTTTGTTCTGCCTATCTGCTAAGTTTCCCCACCCCAGGCAAGAAAACAGAAAACATTTGCTGCTGAGAGAATATCACCTTGAAGATAATTTTCTTTCTTCCCAGAATGAGTTATCTAAATATTACTGCCATAGCATTTGGCCATTTTAAGGTTTGCAGGGCTATAAAACTTTTGATCATCCCAAGGAGGGGGGACGAGCTGAAGGACATCTCTTCTTTTTGATGAAGCACAGAGGAAAAAGAACAGCATAACAGAAAGACTATTTATAGAGGCTGCTTGCCAAGTCAAAGCCCAGGCCTTTAATTACATTTGTGCACGATGTGGCCGCATTTAATAAAGGTCTAGATGCAGTATCATCTTCTATTTGACTTATTAGCGTTTGCCTTTTCTCTGTAAAATCTGGCACCTGTTGATGTGATTGACCATGAGTACGAGTGCAGATAGATCAGGGCTGAAAGTCACTCAATGTCACAAGCTCATTTAACGTAACCCTTCTAAAACTGTCATAGTTCTGCCTACTTGTGGAGCATTCACTGGTGATTGCAGGTTGCTTTGTGTCCTCAGAGTGCCGTGGTTAGATAGGTAGGCTATGGTACCTTATGGGACTATGATGTGGGTGGCAGCTGTTAGGGGTTTAAGTATGAGAACTGATCAGTCTCTTTTGGAGCATTTTGTTGTGGTCAGGGTTTGATTTTTCACAGAGGCGTTTATCTGACAGAATACTAAATGCTAGTGCTTTACAAATCTGTTGACATCATAAGTAGCCTTGTCACTTCAAGAGATATGCCAAAGAAGTCCAGCTGGGCTTGAATTCCTGGTTTTTTTTTGTATTTTTGTTTTTTTTAAATAGTCTTGTCTAGGTCAGGGGTGAAGTTCTTGGTCAGGGCACTACAAGATACTTGCGTTTTCCCATCATTTCTTGGACTGATAAAGACAGACATTCCAGTTTCTAGCTCCAAAATGTTGCAAAACCATGGTGCCCTTTAGGATTTATGTGAAGTCTGGCAACAATCGCTAGTCCTGCTTTCTGTCTGTGCACAGGGTGTTCAATAGAGAAACAGGCTTAGGCTTTTCGTGTTTTCACTCTTATCTGTTGATATTATATTGCCTCTCTGGACACTCTGGGTACCTTTTTGACCTCACATCTCACCTTCTTCCCCAGTACTCATTTTGATCAGAACTGAAACCTAGTGCCAATTACTGATGCACTTCCATATTGAAAATGACTTCTGGCACCCTAGATGGCAGCACTCACTTTTGTGTTTGTGGCACAAATAGCTGGGTATGGGTGTTCAGATAAAGACAGGGTAAGATCTATATATTGCTGTTAGCTCTTGTAGATTTGGAGCAAAATGGGGAGCATGAGGACCCCTGAATTAATTTTTTGTGTGTGTGTGTGTGTTGCATAATGGCAGGCTTCTGTATTACAGCAAAAGGATAGAGTTCCTAGTTCATGGTTCTGAAATATTACCAGGACCTTAGAAGAGATACTTGCTCTTCCAAATCCCACCAGGGTCTGTGCCATCATTTCTGTGAGCAAATAGTCAATTTAGATTTCAAACTCAACCAGGAATTAAAATCTTTATTCTTGACTAAAGTCCAAATGAGTGCTGTTCAATATTGAAGCTGGTTTGTATTGCTTCCCTCATGGCTTCTATTGCTTCCCTCAGAGAAATGCATCTGTTCTGGACTGTTTTATTTTTTTGCCTTCGTTGGCACATTTATTTGTTTGTGTTGCATAGGAAACTGAGTATGTTATGATGCTAAATCTTTCCTACCAAGCAGCAGCTCTGGCTCAGCCTTGGTGGTTATTTAAAATCTCAGAAGAGACTCGTCAGCTGCTTTACTTGTACATTCAAGCACACAAGGTGATATGCTAATTGGCCTTTCATTAGTGCCTGACTGACGTCACCAACAGAGTAGAAAGAAAGGAGGCTAAACTGATGAAGTACTTTTCCACTGTTGAGCTGGTACTGATGCAGTTATGTACTATAGCTTTTTTTTTTTTTTTGGAACAGTTCTAATTTTCTGTGTGACTGCATTTGTGCACTGTAGCATTCAAACATTGCCCTGGTGTATTACTCTCAGAGCTGGGCTTTTTATGAAAAAGAGAACGGGAACAGAGGCTTTGAAATTCCTCTATTTCTTTAGTGTTATTACTGTCTCAGATTCAATTAGGTTGAACAAGTAAGATTTTGTGATCCATCTCATCAGTGCTCTTTTCATATATGTATCTACATATTTAGGCAGTCCGTTTCCTGTAAGAAGCATAGATACTGCAGGTAATAAACAGCTGTGTATCAGTTAATGAGCAAGAGGCACAGCTCCTCTTTTCCAGGAGGTTATCCACTGCGTGAGCTCAAGCAGAAATTGTCATAGAATTGAAAAAAGACCCTTTTCTTTTTTCAGAGCTGCCAGAACAAGCCTTTCAAATCTGAGAAGTTTTTTCATGAGTATAGCAAGCAGCTTTTTCAGTACAGTACAAGAAGGATCTACATCACATAATGGGATATAGTACCGCATCAGAAGTCCATTGAGCTGGGTTCAGTTCCTGCATTGACTTCCTGAGGTGAAATCACTAAATCTTTTTGTGCATCAGTGACCCTATCACCTGTATGACAGGGCTAGTATCTTCCTTTATAAAATGCTTTGCTATGACAAATCTTTCTAAGATGATCTAAGTTTGTATCTTCTGAAATTACAAAAATCAAAATGCATTTTGGTCATGATAATGAGTAAATGTAGGCTGAGAAAGAACAGGTTTGCTTGATAGGAAACCACTGCTACTCAACAGAACTAAATGAAATAAGTTGACCCTGGGATTAATTAAATAGAACTGCTATTGCTAGTGGCTTTGTTGTGAATTGGAGAAATAATTTTGTCTTGTAATATGTTAACTGAAGCGTAATAAAAAAGCTAAAGGCAGATAGGAGCTCTGATGTTGAAAAGGCCGTGGAAATACAATCAGGATTATTTCTTTTAAAATCACAAATGGGGAGTGCTGAACTGTTTGTTGCTTCAACTTCATTAAAAAACAATAACAATAGAGACCTTGATAAACTGGAACACATATTTCAGTGACTAGAAACCTATTGTAATCACAATGACAGAAATATAATCTTGGGCTTTAGTCCATATGTCTGTCCTAATGAGAGCTATTAATGTCATTGGTTTGCATCCAGCTTGCAGGCCAAGGCACTTAACTAAAATAAAATGTTTAGTTTCTGTCATTAGCTGGGGTGCAGAGACCAAATGGCTGGGACTATCTTGTTTTTTAGTTCAATTAATAGACCTCTGTTGTTTATCTGGAATAAAAATCTGATAGCACAGGATGAAAAACTACTCCAAAACTTTTCAGTGGGACCAACAAATGAAATCCATCATGGATTTAAATGGAATCATATTATAATCTTCTCCCTTCATTGGACCAGAGATCTTTTCCTCTGTGATATTTATGTTATTTTTAATCATGAAGACAAGGACAAATTCAGGGAGTTGCTGAATCCTTTGTCATGAGCCCTTACTATAGTTCATTGACTCATCTGTCTTTCTGTGGAAGAACTAGTTAAGGACTCATAAGGAAAAGTCAACAGTGGACATGCAATTTATAACTCCTTCTATTCTTCCAGGCAGAATGAAATCTCTGGGCAATGGCTGAAGCAGTTCTGCCCAGAGACACCACTGCAGTTATGCACAGTAGTAACAGCAGACAGTTGACTTGTAGGAATGGTGCGTGTGCTCCATCTCTGCCTGGGAGTTGTTCATGAGTTGCTTGATGATTGCTATCACTACTGTATTTGAGCCCAACGAGTACTGATTGTAAAAACACTTTTTTTTTTTTCCAGACTGTAGTCAATTGTTTGGGACCTCTGAAGTTAAGCAGTGCTCTGTAAATGAAATATGTGAAAATAGACATGTGCAGGATATAATCCCAAACAGCAGTGATATATTTCGCCTTTTATAAGTTGAGTTCCTCAAAGGAGAAGTAAAAATGGCTGCGATGAATAAAGTTCCAGCAAATAACCTCTTTTGGTCATAAAACTAGTCACTTGTCAAAAGGAAATGAGTGGTCATGAGTAAGAAAAAGCTTGTGTGCCCATCAGATGGAGCTAAAAATGTGTCCATGCTCCCTGTGCACCTGTGAATGCTCCATGATGTGCAGACCTAAGTTCCTACAATGCAGTTAATGCAAGTTAACTCTCAGGTGTGGAGTTCAAAGCAGCTCACTCCTCCCCCCAGGACAAGTGCTACCTTTTCCTTTTAAAATGAACCTACTACTAATCCATGTTAGCTGAAGGTTTGTAACTGTGGCAGTGCTTGTAAACTGATCTGGGTGAGTGCTCTTAATGGATGATACCCAGGTGTGAATACACATGGAAGGAGTTCATTTAAAATAAGTCTCAGTGATCGTGTGAAAGGAGGGCAAAGGTAGCTATATCAAACACCAAGGTGCTTAAGGTCTTTAGCTCTTTATTCCTTTCACAATTAATAGCCATTCACCCAGTTTGTCTCAATACGTATATTTTCTGATCTGTGGTATTCTGAGAGTTGATTATATCAAATGGAAAGACAATGAGACTGTTAAAAGCCTTTGGTTTTTCAGTGTTTAAATGGAGTGAAGATGAAAGATTAAATTTAAAAAACCCCCAACAACACAACACCAAACCATATTTCTGTTATTCTAATTAAAAGAACAATTTTGACAAACTGGGTCATTAGTGAAGAAAATAATATGAATGACTTAGACTTACAGATAAGGAAACACAATGGAGAAAGTTGTTTATGTACTGCTTTCTAGGAGATTTTATTACGTATAATTAGGAATACATTAACAGGAGGTCTTAATTTAACTCATCTAAATCATAGGTGAATTAAGTGAATTAGGTTTTGGCTTTGGACTTGGTTTATTCTCTCTCAAAACACTAATTACTCTAACAGGGAGAGCAGGCATTTTAACATGCAGTCAATAAGATGGCTCAGTTAGCATAATAGAGCTGATTGGGATAAACTATGGCAACCATGGGATAAATCACATGGCTGAATGATGCTGTGAAAGGAAGTAGTGCTAGGTGAGGGAATCAGAGAGGAAGAAGCAGGTTAGGGAGCATGTGAGGTTTCCCATCCTTGTAAAGGATGAGTGATGTCCCAGAGACAAAGCAGCTTTGAAAATGGACACAGTGCTCAGAGAAGAGAGCAAAAGCAATTAGCCTAAAAATGAGTTTTTAAAGCCCAGTGGGATAAAAAGTGTAAAGCCACGCTGAATATGCTGAGGTGTTGAGAAACAGCCAATGCACCAAATCACGATGACCAGTTTTTATTTCCTTTCACATTAGAATACCAGAGCATGTAAATAAGAAGGAGGCAAGGTGCATTTTCACAGCAGAAGTTTCTCAAACAGTATTCAAGACTGTGGAAGAGTTTTTTGAATTACATTCTCCTAAATGAGATAAATACATATGAAGTGATGAAAAATGACAATAATTAGTAATTAGGAGAATCTTGAAAAATAGCTTTTTGTGAGCTTCTGCCAAGTGGGGAGGATGCAGCATGTGGGATTCCCTGGGAGCGTGTGGTGTATCTAGTGCACATCAGTACTTACAGCAATGAGTTGTACAAGGAACTAGAAAATATGCATATTACATTTGTAGGCTATGCACAGCTGGAAAGGCTGCAAGCATTTGGGTGAAAGGATT